CTTATCCTTCCTGGTCCCATTGCTTTTTTATTCTCAGGTGCTGGCATTCATCCATGTAGTTTTGTGGATGCTCTAAATACTACTCAGGTACCCCCGTGGGTTGGCACCCCTGCAAAAAGGATGGCTCATAAATTGTGGATCCAACACACTTGCAAATGTTTGGTTTCCTCCAGCCTGCACGTTGTCCGAAGAGCAAGGAATTAAGAGCTGATCCTTTTTATTTCCACCATTGTTTGGGTCCTGACCACAGTTGCTGCTAAAAAAATGTATCCAAAGTGAAGTCTTGGCCAACACACCTGAATATAGTGGTGATGTAGCAATCACCCAGGCTCCCATTCATTGACACCTACCATATTACAAGTGCCATTCTATGTAATGTTTAATCCAGATAACAGCCCTTTTATAAATGAGAAACTGAGGCTCAGAGAAATGAGAAATCTTGCACAAATTAATGCAGGAAGGTAAGTAACAGAGTTGGGCTGTGACCCGGGTGTGTCTGAGCCTGAGCTCATGCTCTTTTGGCCGTGTTTTTCCCTGGTATGGATTCATTTCCCTTTTTGGTGTTCCAAGTAGATTTGCTATTTATAAAAAGAAAGAACTTGAGCACAAGCCTCATCTAAACCACTTGGTGAGGTAAGGGTATCAAAAAGGAATTCACTGTGGAAAAAAAAAAGGAATTCACTGTGAAAACAAATGAACATGGAGCAGGCATATTGCACAAAGCACGTTTACTCAATGATTAAATGTACCCTCCAAATTTATTTTCTCTGATAAAATGGCCACTATTTATTAAAAGGCAATTCTATGTATCAGATTGAGATTTTACAAGCAGTTTGTTCTGTCCACTAGGTTAGAAGCTCCTCAGAGGAAACCAAAAGTGTTTTTTTTGAATGGATAAAGTAATTGGCTGGGGCTCTGCACAGGGATTTTCTATACTGCTTAGCTGCTGTCCGAAAACAAAATAAACTGGCTCCTCAGAAATAGTTTATAACTAGAATTATAGCAACCTCTCTCTGGTCCTCCAATTTATATGAAAATCTAGTATAGATGGATTGGTTCCTGTATATTTTTTCCTCAATTAAGAGAATTTTGCATTGCCTCTATGTTTGTGAAAAGTCCTTCCAAGTCCTCGCTTAAGGATGCCAAAATTAAAAAAACACAACAGTTGGTTGCAAAACCAGACACAAGAGGGGACAAAAGGCATGAGTGTGATTATTAACTGCAATTAAACAAAATAAATAAAGCCTATCATCCAATCTGTGGAATCATGAATACTTTCCCATGAGCACAGTATGGTAGATGGAAATCCATTTATTGCCCATCTGAGGTGTGTAAAATGTCTTGCCAGTCTCCTTTTTGGTGGGCTATCTTTGTTATTCCTGCAAGTGAGCCTAGAATATCTACAGGTTCTCTAGTGCACTCAATCCCCCTACTCCACGGGTAGAGTGTTATTATCCCCCAATGCTCCCGCCATTCGTGGCTGCAGTGGGATTGCTCTCATGGGGGAAGCGGTACAGTATCTGATGCATTCATAGTGAGGGAATTTGGGGTTTGATACACAGTGACAGAAGTAGGTGACCATCATTTGAAAGAACAACTCATTTACCTTTTGGAAAACATCGCTGATTACCTGAGGTGGGTCACCCTCGGGTGAGAGGAACTGAAGCACACTGAGAAAGTGAATGACTTGGAAGATCAGGCTGTGGACACAGCTCCTGTGTGCACCCCAATGAGCACCGTGCTATGGAGCCCAAAGGGCTGTCTCACATCCTCCACTCTGGAGGTGATGAAGGATGGCAGGTGAACCTATCAGGACCATTGAGCATTCCAGACACTCTTGAACTAAACAAGGGTCCTGGCATGCAGATCAAATCAGTTAAAACTCAAAGGCCTTCCTGAGGAGCTTAAAACCATCAATATGTTCCCTTGGGTGGAGGGAATCCTGAAACACAGGCATAAGGATGAGACTTGTTATCACCCAATTTCACTTCTATGGTGACTAAAAGAACCTCCCTAGCCCTCATTTATTATTTGCTCCTAAACCCTTCAAAGTCCCGCTACTGTCCCCCAGCCTCCCTGCCAGTGCCCCAGGGGAGGGAACATCCTCAAATTACCCTTCTTCTCTACCACTGTAGCCGCATGCTGCAGGAAGTGCTGGCTTCATCTTTCCTCTCCCACACTCCCTTAGTCTCTCCTCAAGCCCAGTCTGCAGGTCTAAAACATTGCAGCCTAATTGCTAATTAAGAGAAAAGAGAAGCTCCTGGAAAGAGAAGGAATTTGCATTCCAAGACCTAGGGCTCCATCTGCCTTGTAGCTGGTAATTGACTGTAGCTGGTAATTGACATTCAATGTTTTATTGGATCATCATTAAGGCTGCCCACTCATAGGCAGCGGAATTTGCCTTCTAGGAGCTCTATTGGTCTACCTAGTGACAGGTCTGAATGAAGCACATTGCCCAGAACACCTCAGTTCCTTAGTGACTGGGTAAGCATTTGATTATTCGGGATGCCATATGTTTTATTGGGAGTAACCAAATTGTGCTTTTTAAAAAGCCCAAGTGTGGACATTAAAAATAAAAAAGAAGGGAACAAAGTTTTCATGTGCCCACTGGGTACCAGCATAGTAGGAAACACTGGGCTGGGAAAACACACCAATTTTGGAGTCATCCCCACCTGGGTTTGATTTGGGCTTCTTCCTCCAGCTGTCTGACATTAATCAAGTCACAGATTTCCCTGACATTCTTCTTTCGAGTATTATGGACCGTCTCTCATAATGTGGTAAGGAACAAATGAGAAAACGGACCTAAGCACCTAGCACAGTGGATTTCAGAATATTAGTGACTAATTATCAGGTAGTTTATGTTATCTCATTACGCGGGGGGCAGGGCTGTCAGCATCATTTGACCAAATGAGGAATTTAAGTGTCAAAATGTTATCTCTCGGAACATCCTTCAAACCCTGGTCTGACTGGATCCCAAATTGTGCCTTACCTAACCCCCCAAAGGAACTGGAAAACTGTATTGGCTGCATATGGTGATAGCAAAAGGGCAACTAGTTACCCTGTGATCAAGAACCATGACCTCTCAAAGCAACTCAGCTGCAAGATGCCACCCACGCAAGCTAATCTTTATAAGCAGCCCTTTGGAGACACCCTCCCTGCATCAGAGCAAAGAGAGGCAGTGTTTCCTGTACTCCGGAGCCATGGCAGCGCCCTTTCCAGGCTGCTGAGGTATGACTTGGTCTGAAGTAGGTGAGCCTCTGTGAGCCAGGACACACAAGGCAGCTTCTTCCCGGCAGAGTTTCACTGAGTCAGGTGCAGAATGTGGGGTTCTGGGCCCCGCTGCGGAGCTGGTACTACGCTAGGACTGACTCTCTGCTTCTCCCTTAGGTGAGTGGCCCAGGATGGACTATGCTTCCTCACTTGGGGGGCACTGGGACAAACCGCAGTTTCCTGTCTCTCAGTGAGGGGGGAAGCACGTAAACAGATGAAAATGAAAATGGGCAGTGATGTTTGGTTGTGTGTGGGGAGGGGGTGGGTGGAGGAGCCGTGGGCCAGAGGTCCCAAATCCCCAGGTGTCAGAAAGATTCTCAGGTGCTTCCTGTCTAGCAACCTCCTTCTACACAGTTTGCATCCTATCAGAGCTTTAGACTCAGTACAGAGCATGAAACCTCACTGGGCCCCACCATTCCTTAAAGATTCCTCTCATCTCCACCCCCACCCGGCCTTGCTTAGATGACTAGGAGTCATCATCTCCCCACTCGGGGGAGAAACATGATACAGGTGAAGTGTATGTACCTGGAACCAGATGTCCTAGATGTGAATCTTTAGGGCTGCCTAGTGCTAGTTGTATAACAACTAATCTAACCTCAGTCAACTCATCTGTAAAATGGACATAATCACAGCTGCGTCATAAAATTGTCAGAAGGGTTAAATTAGCTAATATGTGAAATGTGCTTTGAAACGTACCAGCACACAGTAAGTGTTCAGGAAAAGCTGTTGCTACTGCAGTGAGCACAACCAGGTCCCTTAGATAAGTAGCACAAGAGAATGAAAAAGCCTTTAGAGACAACCAAACCTCAACTCCCTTCTTACCGTATGGGTGGCTTTGAAAAATTTATTTAACTTTTCTTCAGCTTTATAAAGCAAGTTCAGTTGCCCCAGACTTTGTAGCTCCCTGTTTTTTACCTGCCTAAGAGCAGGTAAGGTCCTTCTACTGTGATTGGTTTAGAACTGCATGGTAAATATAAAAATATCTAGAAAAGCTTTCTTCCTCTACCACTGTTCAAGGACCACTTAGAAGAATGGATTCAAATTTTATGAACCATTTTATTAACTTTTTTTAATAAAGATTTTATTTATTCATGAGAGACAGAGAGAGAGAGAGGCAGAGGGAGAAGCAGGCTTCCCGCGGAGCAGGGACCCCGATGCGGGACTCGATCCCAGGACCCTGGGATCATGACCTGAGCCGAAGGCAGACGCTTAACCATCTGAGCCGCCCAGGCGCCCCATTTTATTAACTTTTAATAACTCAACAGGCGTGGTCCTGTGTGATTAGCACCAAAGTGCAGTCTGTTCTTTTCGGGAAAACGGCAACCCTCTGTCCTTTCACGCTCCACCCTAAATCCACGGTTCTAGAACTATCAATTTGCTAAAAAATTGTGGGCACCCCAAACTAATATTTGACAAAAAAAGTCTGGTCTGCGATTCCTCTGCCCAGTATTATCCCTCTCATTGCCTTTTGGTGACATCACTTAGGAATAACATAAAATTGTGACTTTAACTGGTCTTTACTCAGCTCTTAACACAGTGGTCAGGAATTGGTTATGAATTAATTTGCACAGCCTCAACATAAACCCAAGAGATGTCTCAGGCATTATTAATATCACGAGGGGGTTTGGCCCTATCAGAACATTCCAGAATGGTATGACTCAGTGTGCTCTTGTCTTACCTTGTACCTTAATGCCTTGCTATCTCCTTTAGATGCCCAATATGCATTCCTGCACACCAACCGTGCCACAGAGAGCCTGGTTCTGCAGTGAAATTAAGCCTCTGCATCCCTCCACCATCTAGACCTGAGAACCTGCCCTCTCAACCTACTCAGATGGAGAAGTCCTATAGAGAAGAGAGGAGGACCTTGCAAAAACCCCTTGCATTCCGCCAGGGACCAACAGCTCTAGGAAGTCTACAGGAGCCTTAAGAACAATTCAGCTCCTCTGGGAGAAGAGCTAAATTGGCTGGAAGGCAGACACCTCAGTATTTGAGGTAAGTTCGAAGTCTTGCCCCTTTGGCCTAACCTCTACTCTCTCTTGCCAAGTCCACCCTGAGCAGACCTTTGGCATCTCCCCAAGGGACCAGAGTACCTTCCTGCTTTGGTTACTTTGCTGTCGAGGGTGTAGGGGGCTCCTCAACATTTCTAGGGAAGAGGCAGTCAAGGCAGAGGTATGGGCCCCATTTTAGGGGTCCTGGACCTTTAGAGCCCAGCCCTTATAGCTCAGGTCTGCAGCTGTCACGCAGCAAGGCGGGGTTCAGCATCCCGAGCTCAGAAAGCCTGAGACTCCCTGGCAACTCGGCTCCCATGAGCCCTGCAGGCAGAACTGGTGAGTCAGGCTCTCCTCCCCTTCCCAGACTCCCCGCAGGGGCTGTCTGACCTGCTTTGACTCCTTTTTGCTTTCAAGGTTGCTATTGATACTCATCTTAACCTGATTTTACACGGTGTGATGTGCCGGGGGCCCCAAACCTCTCCCAGAGAGGGCTGATTCCTCTCTCCTGCTGTTCAGTTTGCCAAAATGGGCAGGGACGGGCTGTGGAAGAGCTGCCTGGGGGCTTGGGGAACTTGAATAGTCTTTTGCTTATGCAATTGTTCAGTGTAATTAGGTTGTAATTTTCTAAAGATGAATTTGTGAGAGGCCCACATTTTCTAAGGGATGAAAACAAGCTCTTACTATGGTAGCACGAATGATGGGTGGGTACAGCTGCCAGGAGGAAGATCTCCTTGCAGTGTTGGGAGATTAGAAGCCCAGACCTTGAGTAAGAGATAAGGGAACATTTTGGGGGAAAGCTAGGTGCTTTCTCGGTGCCTCCACATTGAATTCTCAGAGCAGCTTATGGTGATGAGGATAGCTCTCATTGTAAGGATGAGAAAACGGAGGTTCAGAAAATTTACGTCATCTGCCAAAGGTCACTGAATTAGTGCAAATCAGAGTAGCTAGCACTTAGTGATGCCCGTATGCTGTGAATTGTCCTGAATGCTTTACACAGATGCACTCCTTAAAATAATAACCCTATGGGGAGAGAGTGGGCATTGTGGACCACTGTGGCCCTCATTTTTCTGTTGTAAAAGTTGAGGCAATGAGTTACTAAATGAATGATTATTCTGGGGGCAGAACTGGGACCTAAACTCACAAGGTCACACTCTACTCCTCTAACCAGGTTTTGCTGCACTCCTTTTCACCAGAAAGTGGTGGTGATGGGGTTTTATTCCAGGTCTGTCTGACTTCAGGTGTTGTGTGCACCTTCCACTATGCTGGAAATCCAAATAATTGGTGGTGATGGTGATGGTGGTGGTGGTGGTGGTGGTGGTGGTGGTGGTGGTGGTGGTGTGTGTGTATGTGTGTCTGAGTGACTATGGGGATAAGTTCAAAATATGCAGTCCTAGACACCTCAGTCATGCAACCCCTAACTATTGCTTGCCTACTACTTTCTAGAAGCCGTGTTAGAAGAGCTCTGTGTGTAACCTTCATGAGAGAGTTTCAGCTCACATAACCAGGAACACAAGCTGATGTAGAATCAAGTATTCAAAATCTAGTGGTTGCATAGAGCAGCTGGTTCTAATTGCTATCTTTCCAGAGGACAGGGCCATTTCTTGTTCATTTGAGGGTTCCCATGGCTTCGCTACACAAGTTGAAAATTGTTCTTAGACTTGATTTGTGTTTTGGGGGGAGAAATTCATTAAAGTTCTGTGTACTGAAACAAAATTGACTTGGGCCTGAAAAAAATGGATATGGTTAGGTGGACAAGTGGTTAGGTGGTTAAGTGGAAAATATTTTAGGAGAGTAGAACGAAGGATTGGAGGCGGAAATAAGCATGATGTCTCTGACCCAGGCACATGATTGTATTGACAAGCAGAAATTTGAGCAAATGAAAAATGAGTTTGGATAGGGGTGTAGATAGGTCATGGAACATCAGACAGAGATGTGTCAAATGGGTGTGGTTGGCCAAAGGGAGCCATTGACAATTTTAGAAGAAAGTCAGTGATGGGAACAAATTTGGCAGAAGATCACCCTGGTGAAGTGAAACTGGATGAATTGCAAGGGACAGCTGGGAAGTCAGCTAGGAGATGGCTTCAGTAGGCCGAGTGAGGGGATGGAGTTAGAGCAACCAAAATGGTCATGACACAGTGGTTCCCATGAAACATAGTCCCAAGATCTCAGGGAAGGCTGGGCTTTGGAGCTCATCTGCTCTAGCTGCCTCCTTTCCCCTCCCTCCCAGGGATCAGGCTTAATTGTCTCAATGACATTCTAGTCTAGTGACTGCCCAGGGTTTGGATGAAAATGGAGAGGCATGGAGAACTCACTACCTCCCTTTCTGCTTTTGGAGAACTGTATCAGAAATGTCTCCGTATAAAGCCAAAATTGGCCTCCTAGGGAATTTCATACATTGGTCATTTCGAAAGAAAGTAACAGCTGCTCTAAGCAAAGAGAATGATATTTATGGGAATAGTGAAACAAGTCAGAAACTGAGTCCAAGGCTCAGCCAGGATGGCTTTGAGCAAGTCAGGTAAACTCTATGTGAGTCGTAACTTCTGCAACAGTGGGGACAATACATGTCCTGCTTCATACTCTGGTCTATTTGGATAATCAAACAAAATGGCTTGTGACAATGTTTTAGAAATTTCAAAATGCCTCATAAAGGAAAGGGACGTATGACTTTTAATGCTCCACAGAGGGAATAGAGTATAGTTGAGTGCCAGAGAAAGCTGGATCCACATTCCAGCTCTGCCAGTTTCTGGCACTGTGATCTGGGGCTCCTTCCCCAACCTTTGCTTCCATAGCTGCAAAATGGCACAAATACAGTCCTACCTCAGGAAGTTGTTGTGACAACAAAATCTGATGAGGCGTTTACAAGCACTTAGCACAGGATCTGCCTAACCTGTAACAAACGATGAATAAATACTATTACTGATACATGATGACTGCATATAGGAGATGAGTGAAAAAAAGAGGAGTCCAATCCATGGCCTTGAACTTGAGTGAGTAAAGAGACGATGATCATATTGATGGTCTGAGAATGGGAGGGAAGCTGATTGTGATGATCTGGCAGATGTTTTGAAACTGCAACTCCTGGCATAGCTCTTATGTTTATACACATGCCACAGGCACTCTTTTGACAGTGGCTGTTTTTTGGGCCTGCTCCATATCGAGCGGCTGGCCTCCCTCTCTGACACCCACATAACAAGAGTTGATGGACTCAAACATAGTGCAGGCGTTCACAGCCCATTCCGCCTACAGCCATGCCATAAACAATCAGGAGCTCATTGCATTGTTACCAGATAGGGTGTCCTGTTTAGATGCCAAGATGGTGAAAGAAATGTCATCACCTGTGCATTCCTTTGGAGGGGCCATCCCGTTCTTGGCCAGGACGACTGTTTTGCAGAAAAGTCATGAATCTGTAGACACTCCGACATAAATCCCATGCAGAGGGAAGGTAAATTGTCACAAAGGGCTCTTATCACAGTGGTTTCAGCTGCTTACTTGGATTTTGTGATCATTCTAAAAGATGATGTTTTTTTTTGGTCAGTAACCAAGTCTTCAGTAAAAGATGAAGTAGTATGATCAGGCTAAAGGTGCATGCTAGTGGAGGCAATGCTACCGGGTTCAGGGAGAAATGACCTTTTAGCAATCAGGCTAAGTGCCCAGTGAGGTAAAGCTTGAGTTTGATAACTCTTTGTGTTCAGGAGAGAGTGAGCTCTGGAGAGTCGATCTTTCCAGAAAGTTTCTTCAGTTGACGATCAGACAAGCGGATTTCCACCTAGGAGTTCCCCTTTCCCAAATGAAGAAGCCAACCATTGTGTTTACACAACTTGCCCCAAATCACACAATTTGTCTTATTCCTTCTTTCTATCAACTATGCTGAGGCGGTGGGGGAGCCATCATTGTGGGAATATGTAAAGAGAAATAAAGGCAATGCCATAACCAGAGACCATCGATGATGATGCCATTTCTAGCTTGGCAATGGACTTGATACTAGAAGGATGTTGTAGTAATATCCAATGAACTCATCTCCCATGGTAAATGTCTTTTTCAGTTCTTCTGAAATTTCTTCTGCTTCCCTGTCTTCAAATGTTTTCCATAAAGTGGAAATTCCTAATAAGCTCTTCACAGTCTAGACTGGTCTCCTGAGTTCAATAATCCTGTATCCATGGCCCACCAGCCTCTATACATGTATACTTTGCAGGTATCTCTAACTCAACCTGTTCCACAAGATGAAGCATCTTAATCCAGTACCCATATCCTTCCTACACTCCCCATCTCAGGGAGCGCTTCCAACCATCCGCTCAGGAGAGCCAGGGTAGGGAACTCTTCCTCAGCTCCATCTTTTCCCTACATCAAATCTCACAATTTCTGTCAACTCTATCTTCTGGACATCTGAGTTCTGTCATCTCTTCCCTGTCTCTAGCACCACCACATGAATCCTATTTCAAGTGGGAGATTTATCTTCCATGTTGGTCTCTTGGACTCATTATCTGCTTTACCCATCGCACCCCCATTCTGTCCATTCTGGTTTTTTCTCCAATTCAAACTTTGTACTACTCTCCCACCTAAGATCTTCCAGTGCTGCTCCCTCAGTACAGAATAAAGCACCAAAGAATGACTTGCAAGTGTCTTCAAGCTTTGGCTGTTGTTTCAATTTCTAGCCCCTCCTCTGCTGCCCTCAATTTTTTTTTAAATTTTATTTATTTGAGAGAGAGTATGAGTGTGAGAGTGAGAGCAAGAGCAGGGGAGAGGGAGCAGACTCCCCACTGAGCAGGGAGCCCACTGCAGGGCTTGATCCAAGGACCCCAGGATCATGAACTGAGCTGAGGACAGATGCCCAACCAACTGAGCCACCCAGGCACCCTGCTGCTCTCCTTGTAAGCTGCAGCAGACACTTTTGGTGCCCTGCACATATCCTTTGGCTCCCCCATGTCGGTGTGCAGAAACCAGCTTCCAGGGGCGAGCACCTGCTTGTAAGAGCATGAGACCTTCTCCAGTGCCTCAGAAGGC